CTTTTCAAAAACCAACTATAATGAGGGACCTTCTCAATGAATTTCAATTCGTCAGATTCTGAATAGGGGATTTAAGGACCGCATTTCCGTAGGTAGGGGGCCATAAGGGTTCTTTTTTGACGACCGCAGCTTCGGCGAAAGAAAGCAGCCCGTTCGCACCCTTCACACTCATCCAATCATCCCGAGAGGGTTGGTTATCCCTGCGCAACAATTCATTACCATCTTCCAACGGAAGGCAATTCGCATGCAATATGCACGGATGGCAAAGAGATGAAGAAAAGGGGGAGGAGGGCGTGTAATCTGCCAGATGCTGGAGGCCAGCGAGCGCGCAGGGGAGTGGGGGCGGGGGCGGGGTCGGGGCGGGGCGGCAGGGCGGGGCGGGGCGGGGCGGGGGCGGGCGGGCGGGGCGGGGCCGGGGCGGGCGGGCGGGGCGGGGCGGGCGGGCCGGGGAGGGCGGGGCGGGCGGCGGGGGCCAGGGGGGGGCGGGGCGGGTTACATACGGGGGCGGCGGCTGGGGCGGGGAAGACGAGGCCGACGCCTGGCGACTGATGGAAGTGCACGGCTCCCCGTCTCTGAGGCGTCGCTGGACGTCTCTCTACTAGATTACGTCTGCGCGTACGCATCGAGGCACCTAGCACCCTACTTACACGTAACTCGTCACACCTGGAGACTCTAGTCACACCAAACCTGGCTCACCCTGAGGTGATAGAGACCACCTCTCTGCATACCCTCTCCAACTGTGTGTTATCATCCGAGACTCACCCTCCAGTGCCTCCTATGGTCAATGTGTCGCTGCCACAGATGTGCCTCGACTTATCTAGCAGTGCTAGTGCGCTCGCCACACCTCTGTGTCTCTCTCCTTCTATATCCCTACATCTACACCTTCGCTTAGCACTACCTGGAACTACGGCCCGTTCAACTCCGCTAAAACCCACCTTCACACTGCAGCTCCCTCAACATTTTATGTGTAGACTTCGAACATCACCTATAGCTTGGCCCTCTGCCGTCCCACACGTCCCCGAACCCGATCTAACCATCAGAACTTACCGACAAACCAATAGCCACCTCCGATATTTCCTCGGACAGCGTGGGTGCTTCTACATTAGCCCAAGGTTAATTACTAGGAGAACAAACAAAGGAACATGGTTACTCTTGTATTCTCCGGTTCGATGACGACCCGAGTTATAATCCTGACCGAGCCGGCGAACTTTGTATTCTCGTCTGCCGGGCAAGCCCGTTCCCGGACCGTCGGCGGCAGCATGTAATTTCTGCCCAAACAGGTGAGGTATTGACCTTGGGCGACTGGCGGAGAGTTATAACAACCTTCGACGCGAGGAGAGGAAAGAAGAAAATAGACTCACGTGGGCGCAATTTTGTCTCTCGTTGAGGGCCAACCGGCGAGGGTGGACGAGACAAGGCGGACGCGGGACTTCCGTGACGGTGTTGAGTGGGGCTGGGGGGGGGTGATACGGCAGGCGGTCGGCCGACGCGGAGGCCCGCGTGCTCAGAGTTGGCTGGCGCGGGACGGGCGGGACGGCGGACGGGCCGCGTGCGCCGCCACACACACCATACCACACATATGCGTGCGCCTTAAACAAGACGGAGGAAGGGACTTCATTTCTGGGTCCACTGATCTTCTCTTTGAATGTTTTTCTTTGAAAGAACAAATATCACAACGTTAGGGACAAGGGGAATAAAATTATAATTTAATGATACAATGGATAAATTTCACGATTTCTATGTTGAACCATTTACAGGGATGCAAGATGACTTTGAGAGTCTCTGACCCAAAGTCGTGAAACAATTCCCAATATTGTCTGGGTTTAAATTAAGAGGGGGCGAGAACTGAAACGTCATTAAACACAAATTTAAAAATGTTTTGATCTCGTAGGCTTCCGGGGGCCCCTTTCCACAACTCGCCTCCCTCGCGCACGCGTATGCTACACACGAGAGCCTCCCACACCGCCACAGCCACAAGCCGGCCCCCCGGCGGACGAGCGGCCGCGGGCGCGGGCCGGCGGGCGGCGGCGTCGCGTGGGCCCGTCGCCCTCGCCCCACCCCCGCGAGAGCTACCTTCTCCTTGTACGCGGACCCCAGTAGCTGCGACGGACTTGAGGTCCACGGCTCCCTTCCCCTTCTTGCCGTCCTCTGGAGCGGCGCTTGCGGCAGCATCGCCATGCAGGCACGCGCAGATTCACCAGGGATGGACGACCGCCACGCCTGGCGGCAAAACGGATGATGCTCCCCCCCGCGCGCGCATGGCAGGGAAGGCCCCGCCGGTCGCGTCGACCACCCTCGGCCCCCGCCGCCTCCG